CATTACGTTCTTTCTAAATTTTATTTTCATGATTTATTAATTACGATAACAACTTATTTTGCCAGGTGAAACTTTTGCAGTGATTGTTCCCGATTCAAGTTTATAGCTGTCGGAATATATTGAATTTTCAAGCCAATACATTAAATGCAACCTAATTTTTAGCATGAGTATATTTTATTAAACTTAACTCAATTTTTTGTCTATTAGTTCATACTTTACTCTAAAGAGTGATGTGTGTTATTTTTTTTATGGATTCTTTAATTGAATTCCCCTTATGAATAAATAAATAATTAAAATGAATATTAACTAACTAGTACTTTAAAGACATTATTTTAAAAAAAAACATGTATTAATTGAAACAAAGGAACACAACTAATCTTTCATTTGTTTGATTTATTGTTTGTTGAGTTCGCAGATGACAGTTTAATATATTATAACACAACTTTCAAATCTTAATTTATAAATACATCAAACTAGTTATTGAGAACAATATTCGATATAATTTGATTCTTTAATATATATATATATATTCTCAAATCAGGTTGGTTTTATATTAATAAATACATTTAAATGGGTTTTTCAATGACATCAATTTCATAAAAAAGACTAGTTTGATGTCACTCTAAGACCAATTAAATATCATAAATTGGTTAAGTGATAAGTACCATTGTCTCTATTTTCAAAGCCTGCCTCTAAGCCCCATAGACAGCCAATTTTCCCTAACCGAGACAATATATAGATCAACAAAATATAACTTGTCAACATGCACATACTAATGTCTGATAACATGAGACCCAGAATAAAATAGAATATAAGTGTCCTCTACCATATCCTCTATTCCTCTTACAAAATATACGGTTAATTTTTAAATTTTCTTTCTGGGCATATTTTTTTATCTTGAATACTCCACAGATATTTCTCATTAAATCAAATTATGATAGTCTATGGTCCAAGCTTTGGAGGTGGCAGCTGATAGGATGTGGTGTGTTTGATGAGTCACTTTGAAGGATGACCCAAGTCTTTTAAGTATGAACTAGTCTTCAGTGTTCAGGTGATTCGTACTCATTAAAGTTTCTACAAGTTGACAAACCAACCAATTTGAAACACAGAGGAATGCAGAGCTCATAACTCTCAAATTGCTAAAGACATATAAAAGACATGGTAGCAGTCAGAAAAAATCAAGAGGAAAAACAAAACAATATCACCAGGTTCTTTGGGGGGTCACAGACTCACATATTGAACACTAACATGTGACATCATAAAGGACAAACTTGGGAGGAGAAATCAAATATTTGAGGGTTAGGCTGCAATGTAATCCAAGACTCCCACTGACATGTTACAAGTCCTATTTCAACTATATATTATTATTAAGTTAATGGGTAGTCAGAAGCTTTTGGCCTTCATCTATGTTTTGCAGTTTGCATCTCAAAAGTCACACCTGCTTTTGTTTTAAAAGGAAAAATCAGTCAAATAAAGCACACTAACAAAAAGAAATGCAACATTATAACATAAAAGGACCAAAGCAACAAAGACAAAAATGACATATATTCATAATAACCATTGGAATCCTATTTTATAGCTACAATATTTTTCACTTATCAGTAGTAGTTAATGATACCCAACTCACTTTCACACACTTACTGTGTACTCTATAATCTATATTCAGAAACCAAGCTTTGTGCAGTCTCATTTCCCCATTTTGCTCTTATTTGTTAACTTACCTGTCCTTCAATAAATCATAGGCCATAAATGCTCATCCATTTCATCTATTCTCTGTAGTTTTCCTCTCTTGTTGGTCATTACCATCTGTTTATGTTGCCTTATTAGTACTTTGACTACACAGTACCAAAACAGAAGAGTGTGTTGACTAGGCCACTCAAAGAAATCAGATTCATTTTCAAGGCTGTGTTCAGCAGAACCATGGATGGAAGGAATATGGGGAGTGAAATGCAACCTTTTCTTGAGACACCGCCCAAAGTGGCTGAGCCAAACCGTTACTCACATAGATCAATTGAGACCCTTGTGGTGGTCATAGCAGTGATCACAATAGTGGGTGTCATTGCAGGAATGATAGCTCGGTTGTGTGGTGGAAGGCACTTTGGGGGCAATGGGGAGAACGACATAGAAGGTTGGGTTGAAAAGAAGTGTAGAAGTTGCATTGATGGAGGACTTCCACCTCCACCTGAAGAACCAAAGCCAGCACCAGCATCAAGTGATGCAACTAAATGAGAAGAAAAAGGAAAGGCTAAGATGCATTCTATTCTTACATAAACACAGTAAGTCACTATAGAACTTTATGAATGCTATGTTTAGGCTAGCCAAGGAAATGCCATGTGATACAAATACAAGGGTTGGGGAAAGTGTTTACAGAGCCTTAACTTATCAATGTATAGAGTAGCAATGTGTTAGTTTTAGAACTTAAAAACGTTGATGTTAGACTCTACTAGTTGCTGCTATTGATTGGACTTTCTGTTTCAGTTTTACTATGTTGGCCATTCATTGCTTCTTAAGCATCATTGTTCTAGAGACATAGCATATTTCAGTTTCTTCAAACTAAACATGTTCCAACATTTGTAGATGTATGATGCTCAAGCTACCTGGAGATTCACAGAAAAGAATAGCATAAATTTTCAGTTTTTAACAAACGAAATTACATATGAAATTTGTTTTATGGAATTTAGCAGTTCATTGAATTCAAGTCATTTTTTTTGTAGTTTATCTTAGATGAAAAATCGTTGAGGCGATGGTTTTAACAAAATATGTACTCAGTCTCAACATTAAAATTTCAATGATCTACCATTACATGAGATTCATTTTTCAAAAAGGGTCCAATTGTTTTGTCAGAATGCGAGTGGAGCCACTTATCATGACAAGGCCTAATTTGTGTCCCAAAAAATTTTTGGCGATTACTTTGGGGCCCTTAGGCTTAACTTTTGGCATGGAATCTGAAATGTATGTTTAAAGATGCTACCAACATCATGGCCGAAATTGCATTTTAACAGTACAAAGCGAAAGCTCTCCAACCCGTTGCCTAATGCTATTAAAAAGCCAAACAAAGTTTCCAAGCTTTCTTTCATTTCCCTATTGGAATTTTACCGTTGCTATTGCTAATTGCACCCACTTTAAAATAATCTTTTATTTTGATTCACTATTTAAAAGTGAGTGTTACATTTATTGTGAGAACTAAACCTTTCTATTGGCATGGCAAAGTGAGATAAAGTAATAATATAAAAGACTTTTGTTTGCATATTTATTTAATTATACTTAAGCTCAAATTTAATATGATATCAAACCCTATTAAATTTGATATTAGATGAATCTTGACTTGAAAAAAGAAATTGTTTCCATAAAAAATTTTCAATATAATTAATGTGATGTTATAATTTTTTTTTCACATTTTCATGCTCTAAATGTCAAATATTGAGCATGAAAGGGTGTGTTAAAATTGCACGTCGACTATAAATATTATTACACAAGAGTTTATAAAAGGTAATTTAATTATCAAAAATTTAAGAAGCAGCTTTTAAATTTAATTTAACTCAAATTTAAGATATTTCATCAAAATTAAATTAAGAAAAGTGAAAAAAAAAATTGTTACTACTTATTCCACCCATCATGCCTCAAAGACTTACAAAATTTAATATTTTCAAGTTATAATAGCAATCAAGATGGACATGTTACATGTATAAATTGAGGTGAAACTAGCAGGTAAGAGCTTTTCATATTTAAATAACTATGGATTCGATTCGCGGGACATACCAACTTACCTCCAAAAATTTGGCTCTGGTTCCCAAATAAAAAAAATGCTATCAAGAAAGAAACAGATTTAGGGTCAAAAGAAAAGAAGAATCAAGAAAGTCATGCAGTTTAGTCTTTAAACCTAGAAATTGTGATGCGATTCCTAAACTTTACAACAAGTGTGTTTCCAATTTCTGTTAATTTTCTTTCAAGCTTACAAAAATATTGCCACATTCAAATCACGTGATTTTTCTTTCAATCAATTTTCTTATTAGAAAAGTCCACTGCATCCTCTTTTTTTCTTTTAAAACATAGAGAGATTAAAAAAATGTATTTGCAAAAGGAAATGCCAAAATTATGACATATATGATATATCATTAATAAAGGTTAGTGGAAACTTTCATTTTCTGTCTGTCTCTTGGCCTCCAAACGATCTGCTTATGGACATATTTGAATATCACTGTACACTTTATAGGGTGGTTTCATTTATCCCTTCATTGAAAGTTATACTGATTTAATGCAATAACATTAAGCAATTAAAAATAATTTTCCAACTAAATTCAAAACTTTATAAAAGGGAATATAAAAGAAGTGTTTAATTATTGTAATACATCATCAGTATAAAACTTTTTGCATCCTCAGCTAATTAAAAAACACTATAAATATGTTTGCTAATTAACAATTATAAAAATTAATAATTTTGAATAACATGTCAACCCATGATTAAATAAGAGGATAAAAATATTTACTATGTCATTGCACTTCAATTAAATACATAAAAAAAAAGGTGTTTTTTCTATTAATTAAACATAAACCTCATATATATGGAAAATATTGCAATAAATTAAGTTTGTTCGGTTTTAATTATTTATTTTCATTAATAATTACAAAAATTTTAGTTTTAAAACAAAAATTTTACAATTATTTATAAAACTAAATAATAAAACAAGAAAATATTTTATCAAATTGAATAAATCTTTACCTATTTTCTCCTTAATGCAGATTTTAAATTACCCAAGAGCTAAAGGGACCATATAACTTTTGACAGTGGAGAACACATACAAACCCTAGCATAAAATTTTGAAAGTCACGTGATTAAATAATTAAATTTTATTGATTAAACAAGTGACTAATAATGGCAATATCTGTTTATCACAATCATTGTTTAAAGAATCACATTATTTACTACAAATTAATTAATTAATGAGGTATCAACAATACACAGCAATGTACATTATGTGTTTCTTGTTTGCATTGTTGTGTGGTTCATATTATATACCATGAGTCTTTCCATAAGGAGGTAGTGGTAGATGTCTTTCTCTCTTTTTGTGTGTTGCAACGAGGGCTAACATGTCCCAAGTAAGACACTTGTACATTGTTACATAAAGCCTCAGCAGCATATCCTCCTTCACATTGGAGATCAATGTTATGCAATACTATCTCCTCGCATGGAAAACTCTCACTACAATCAAACTTCACAGCTATATCAGAAGAACTTGTCCCAATTATGTTCTCGTACAACACATTCTTAATTTGAACCGCTGAGTTCTGCAAGAGCTAGCTAGACCAATTAATTAAATATTCACTAGTGATATAAATTGGTTTCAATAGTAGGAGAGTTGTTTATATTTTTTACCTCTTTTTTGCATGGTTTGTTTTTCTTGTCACAGTAATTCTGATCTATTATTATGGGATTGGTGACATTGTCCATTTCAATGTTCTGAAATTGGATGTTGCTAGCACTTCCTGAGCCTCCCTATATATACCGTAGACCAAAACATATTTGTAGAGTTGTTACCAATTATTGGATTATACAATTCATTATTTTCAATTGGCACATATACAATAAATTATAAAGTTCAAAATTCAAATTACCTGCCATGTCTTAATCCTAACTCCATTTGTAGTTCCAGAAATCTTAGCTCTATTCACTAATATTCCAGAAACAAATTCCTGGGATTTTCCGGCTCCTAAGCTTCCAATACTGAAATAAGTCATTGCAAATAAAATTCGCATACAAATTATACAATTAATACAAAATAACGTTGATAAAGATTTTGATATAGTTTTTAAAGTGACACATGTTACTGAAGCTAATTAATTACCTAATACCATGGCCGGGTCCGCAGATTATGTCCGTGGCTACTACATTTCTTGAGCCATGTACGATTGATATACAGTCATCACCTGAAACAAATTGAAATCAAATCAAGGTGATCGCAAAGAAAATGCCGAGATACTAAGATACTACGTAAAAATATAAGCTATCTTCAATTTTCACATAATCTGGTTATGTAATTTTTTGTGTGTCTATCTCGTTATTCATAACAATTAGAAAGATACTTTTTTTTATCAATATTTAAGCACAAATTTTTCAATATAATATTAAATAATATAAATTATAATAATGAATGAATATAATAAATTTAAAATTATACATTTTTGTTAAATTTTTTTGGGTAAGAAGCTTTTCTTAATATACAATTTTTTTAATACTTCTATATATAATTTAGTTCTTGGGCATCTTTTTTTAAGATTCTTAATATCATTAATATATAATTTATTCATTATATATATATATATATATATATATATGAACTAAATAAAAAATAGTTAGATGATTATTTATAAATTTTCTCAAATTCGATGGAGATAAAATTATTTTTTCTCTTAGCTCTCTAAACCCAATCCCAAATCTACCCATAGTGAGGGTTATCCTGGATTGGTGATTATAATGCTTCATTACTTTTTGTTTTGAAAATATGGGTTATTTAGTTATAAATACCAGTTCCTATGACAGAGCTTGAGATTTGAATGTTTTGCGTATTGGTGACATGAATCCCATCGGTGTTAGGACTATCCTTTGGTGCGGTCACATTGAGACCAGAAACCTTAACATTCACAGAGTTCTGGAATGAAACGTGGATTTGTTGTGCATTTTCTACCCTCAAATTCTCAACTATCAACTCCTCGCAATTATAGAAAGTCAGAGCCTACAAAAGCAAACAAAAAACCATATATAATTAGCAATTATTTCTTATAATGTTCATATTTATTCAACCCAACTTTCTTGATTGTATTGGCAGAGATACACGTACTGTTGGGGCATCCTTGCAAGGCTGCAAAAGAGAGAAAATAAATGTGATTATTGGTAAATGTTTCAATATGATTTACATATATAGTATTAAACAGATTAAAATATAATATTGGGCTTATGAAATATCTTACGCGCTTTTTGTTCCTTTTGCATGAGTTTTGCCACCATATGTTGCCGTTTCCATTGATGGTTCCACCACCATGAACTAAAAGTTTTTGAATATTGTCAAATACAAGCCAGTGTCTGTTGTCTTCGCTATAATCTGATGGATCATTTGATGCTTCAAGAGTTCCAGAAATCTGACAAATTTTTTCACAAATTGCACATGGTTGTCAACAAATTAAGTTATTGTTAGAGATATTAATCATATTTTTTGCTTTAGATTTGAAGCATTAAAAATGATGAATTAATCATTAGCTTAATTTAATTTTCAGTGTAACTAACCTGGACCGCAATGTTAGGTTTGCAAGGACCAGAGAATCTTATTGGTTTGAGTAGATAATTTTCTTGAGGCACCACAAGATTTGCTTCCCCAGAGGAACATACTACTTGCCAAGCCTTCTTGAAAGCCTAAAATAGCCCACATAGCCAACAATATGAAAAATAGTGTCATTTTTCCAATTATGAAAAAATCACATTAATTACACGTGTTGCTAGCAAAAGGAAAAGAAGAAGAAGAAAATGATATTTTGGAGTAGGTGAGTGAGTACTTCTGTGTCATCTTCACCACCATTCCCTTTCGCTCCATAATCATTGACATTAACCATTTTAATCGAACTGGAAGTGCCACCCAAATCTAGAAACCTGTATAAACTAGAAATGATGTCTGTGCTTTGCTTGATTGGGTTCTTAAATGTCCCACCAATATCATCAATGGAAGGTGAGTTATCAACATAAATGCCATTAAGTGGGTCCTCTTGCAAGGAACTATAGCAAGCAACAAAAGAGATTATGATGGTGAATGAGACGAGGAGATGCTTGAGGAGGGCCATTATAATTATATAGTTTCTTTTTGTATATTGTACGAGAAAATAGATGCTCTAATTTGAAAGGTTTGGAATTTTTGTTTGATGAGAATGGATAGTAAGGGGAGCTTGCGTATTTAAAGACAAAGAAATAATAATAATAATAGTAATAAAAGATGTTAGCGTTTGTTCTTCATCTACATATGACCATATAACTGTATGGAAGGATATATATGACTTAGAATGAGAGATTGAGACGAAATGGTTAGTCCAGAACCTCTGATTTTTGCTCCATACATTGTAACTAAACGTTCACGAATCTGTCATTTCTGTATTTTATGTACGTCCTTCAACTTATGTTAAAAACAAGTGTGCAAATATATTTACACGTACATATCCATCTCCCTCTCCTCCAATCGCCTATTATTAACAAAAGTATTTATATAATAAATTTTAATTAATAATAAAGAGTGTATTGCAGAGCATATTCCTAACACTCTCCTCATTTATATTTATGTAATGCATGGTCTAAGTTATATCTTTTAATCTAATATTTTTAATTATAATTTATTTATATTTATCTACAATATATATTTTTATTAAAAAATTTATGAAAATTTATTTCAATTTATCATTTTTATGTATATATTTCTTAATGTTTTATCATTTTATTTTTTATTTAATACTTTTATTTTTTTATAACATAAAAAATTGAAAGATAAATTCAAATATTATATGAGAAAGATTAAAAGAAAATAAAATTTATAAATAAGTAAAAGAGTAATAATCAATAAAAATTATATAAAAATATATTTTTTAAATTTTTCTATGTTTAAGATTTATATGTGTGAGTATGTATGTCTAATTTATTAGAAATTAATGTACTTTCAATTTCCAGCTTAAAAAATAACTTCATAATTTTTTAAAAAAACTGCTGAAATGTTAGAAAAAAATCAAGAATTTATACATAAAATAAATGAAATAATTAATATTAAAATAGTTTTAAAAAATAAAAATGTTATTTAATAACTTTAGTGATAGAATTCCAATGTTATATATAGAGATTTATTATTTTAAGTTGTAAAAAATTAAGATGATGTATTCTCCTTAAATCAAAATTTAGATTTGAATTTAAAAAAAAAAAAAATAGGCTTAAAAGGGTTTTACCCCTTAAATAAGTTAATGCTTAATTTAAACTAATCAAATATAAAATGTGATTCCTAAATTAAAGGCTTAGGCACATAATGAATATACAAAATTTTCGATCAAGTTTCTTGTATTTTTATCATCAAGAGTCAAATGATGACATGTATTTTATTTTAATTTTGTAACATATGTGTTATCAATAGACACTATTTAATGTTAAAAAAAAAGTCAAGTTTAATTATTTAATTTGAAAACATGACAAATAAAAACTAAAGAATATAATCAAAGCTTTATTCTATAAAAGGGGAGCATTATCTTAAGAAATGTTTCAAGGGAAAACTAGAACATTTATAGGTAGACTATTACATCTAAATATGTAATATAAATGGGGGTAGGGATAAGGAAGATGTTTTATGAATAGTTTTTATTTAGAGTTATTTTATTTAAATTTCTTTAAAACATTGGTTAAAAAAATGTTATTTCCATCACAAATTGATTTATTCAACAAGAATAGTTATTTGTTCTATTAGCTCATCTTCATTCATTTTAAAGAGAATTTGACGTGTATGTCGGTTTACCCTATACACCCCATTTTTTGGATTATTCCTAAGGATTATGTAAAATATTGATAAATAAATTCATGCATATGAGCCCACACCACTCTTTGCGTATTAAGATAAAACATAATGAGTACTCATTTTGAAATATTTTAATATTCCAACCTCTTTTCTCCGCCTAATCATTTTTAGTTTTAAACGGTTACCAGTGTTGCGTGAGTTTGAATCTTTTATCTATTGTCTTAAATTTTATTCTCAGCTAGAGAGACATTCTTTTACACCATTGCGTACCAGTAATTGTCACATTAGACTTCATATCTGATTCATTGCATTTGTTGGGAAATTCTGCACTCTCTCTTCAGATGATCATGCTAGGAATTATGACAACTTGGAACAGCATGAATGCAATTTTTTTATTTGTTTTTCTTTCTTATCAAATAGTTTTTATCGTGTGCATTTGGGCAGTCAAGTTGCATATATTTATAAAATTTATCTACTTGATAAAAACTTTTAAATAAACAGTTAAATTAGTTAATCATGTGTTTCATGAAAAGTTATTAATGATACAAATTTTTAAATTTGAGAATTAGTGTTAATACATCTTACTTTTATATATATAACCCTTGTCACTATTGGTTCAGTCTTTATGAATTAGCAACACACCTCAAGCGTGTGATTAAGGTTTTGTTCATGCCATTGAATATTTGTTAGCAATCTTATCACAAAATAGCTCTAGCTGTCGTAAAATGCTGAAGAAGATGGGTGTTTGGATGGCTTTGGAGTAGAAGACATTCATTTGGTCACTTTTAAGCTAAAAGAAGCTTTTCTGAGTGTATATATATATATGTATGTATGTATGTCATGATGAAATGTTAGACCTGAAGTGGCTCTTGAAATTTCGTCTCTCTTCTATTCAGCGGACAAAAGTATGAGCAAATTGTTAATCTTCTTTGTGGCAAAGCCGTCTCAACAAACTATTAATGTATGAAAGGGTTTGGTAAGAGTTGCAGAACAAGTAATCCATCTACTGCAAGGGACTCATGAAGGATTCAGTCCAATGTTTATTTAGGCCCAAAATAAATTTTTTAAAAATATTATACTTTTATTTAAAGTTAGCTTTTTTAACCTTTTGATATATATATATATATATATATATATATATATATATATATATATAATTATTATAATATATTTAATTTTTATGGACACGTAATTGATTTTAAGTAAAATTTTATTGATTTTAATTTTAAAAAAAAATATTTCCACTAACGCAATAGTCCCTAAAATTATTAACATTATTTTACGTAACATGCATTTGAAAAAGAGTCAAATTATCTTCTGTAATTGAGAATGTGAATTAATTTTTTTACTAATTATTAAGGAGAAAAGTCAACTAATAACGTAAACAATGTAATTACTAATTAAGAAAGTATGATAGAATCATATAAGATGAGAAATATATAATTTTTAGTAAAAAATTAACTCTTATTTTTATTATCCAAGGGCTAATTATAGTTAATAAATTCATATTTATTTTTTTAAAATTTAATAATTACTTCTGTATAATAATTACAAGTTACCATTATTGATTGAAAGTATTTTAAGAGCTATGTTTTCTAAAATTATTTAAAATTTCTTATATTTTGTATTTAATTTTATTTATACGTTTTTTTTTTCAAATACTACTCTTAAATTAAATTTTATATTTAAAACTTAATACAATATAAATTAAAGATATGTTTCTTTTTAAAATAAACTAAAATTTAAGAGTTTTATCATTTTCATTAATCTTAATTTAAATTATATTCTAAAAATTTAATACATCATATCAATAAAAAAATATGTCTTTATTTAAATAATTTATTTTTATAATTTTTCTTAATTTTAGAGTCCTATCACTTTTAATTTTATTATATTGAATATAATAAAATTATTATTAATAATGCAAATATTGATAGTTAATTATATTTTAAAAAATATCTGTACAGTGAAAAGCATAATCATCATTAGTAAGCCTAAGATAAGGACTTTAGTGCCCCATGCATGGTTACGTGTAGGGATTTTGTTGGTGCCCTTTAACGTCATCTCCAATGAATCCCATTGTTGTGGATCTGAGAGATGCATAAGATCATCATTAAATGTTTTGGATTGTTAGAGAACATCAACTGATCAAGGTATGGAGCACAAGACATGTCATCATTTCATGCTAACCACCTTACCATTTATTTGGCAACATAACATAACTAAGGTCAGAAAGTTATCCACCTTTCACAATGTTTTATTAGATATCTTTTTAGCGTACTTTATCATTATTGTAACGTATTCGTTTCGTGCCATGAATTCTAAATTACTTTATATATTATTATTGTGTACACAAAGACATTAAAGTATGCTTAATTCTACAAGAAATCGTATATCATTCATCCAAGATTGGGCAAACATAAGCTGCTTTTTACTCATAAAAATTTATTTGACAAGTCATTTTCATAAGTTTTTCTTAATGCTTTCTAAATCTAAGTGCAACAATATCATTTTTATTTTTTCTTTTGTAACAATCTGATCATGGGGATATAAAAACCAAGATATAGAACCCAAAGCTATTCATACAAAAACGGAAAAAAGGAAGAACAGCTGTCTGATCTCCTTGGTTAAACCCATCGATGAACTGCCAGGGCTAAAAAGTAGAAAGCTTTAAAATTAAATGATTTATTTAAACGGAACTAAATATTTTAAGAAAATTGTTCAAAATAAGAATAATTTTGTCAGATTTCTTGAAAAAAAGATTAATTTGATATTCTTTTGACATGGGCTCTTATCCATCCAGCAATCGCTTTTAAAGCCTTGTCTAGTTATAGTTGACTATTTTACTTTAACAATGAGTAGCATTACTAATCCAACTAAGGAATACCCGTAGTTAATTAATGCTGAGATTCCGATTATTAAGTGGTATTCATTAATTTCTTTTTTCAGAAAGAGTTTGGAAGAAATGGGTTTTCTTTTCGTTGTAATTTCTAAATTTATCAATAATTACATGGTGGTATCAAATTATTGTCAAATGATAATTGTCAATTCACACCTCACTGATTAATAATGAAATAATTAAGATAAATCACCACAAAGATAATATTAGATGTAGTTGATAAATATATGGATTAAACTGGCGGCTAGTTGTTTGGTTTATTCTCGTTGATATAAACTTTATTTAAAGAGAATCAAACAGATAACACAGATACCATGAATATATATTAACAATACGATGTCTAAACGGTATATGTTAATTTTTCATACTAATAAAACTAACTATTAATATATTAATTACATGATTCTACTAATATATATCTATAATTTCTCATTAAACAAACTATAACAGGAGTTTGCCCTTGACAAGTCATTAGTTTATAGAATTAAGAGTTCTAAGAATGTAACCAAGAATGTAAATTGAATTTAGTTTGTGCGTGGTTGACAGAAGATATTGAGTCGCTGTAAAAAAAATTAAATTTTTTTAAGAGTTTTAAAGTATAGAACTCCATTTAGGCCGATTCATAGAGATATATTTTTAGTAAAAGTCAATTTTAGATTCTTTAAAAGTGAATTTTGGAGAGTTGAAAATTTTAAATTAATTAAATTAAATTATGATAAAAATTAAATTCAGTAAAAATAGATTAAAAAAATATCAATTCACATAATACTAAATGCGTGTAACTCCAATTATCACAGGTCTAAAGATTTTAATATATGTTTGAATGATTACTCAATTCAATTATAAATTCAATGGAATAACCTAATTGAACTAGATCATAGATTAAATCAAATTATCATTTAATCTAACTCAAATTAATTATCAAATTAGAATATCAATCGAATCCTAATTTAAATTCTAACCATAGAAAATTTAATCACGATCGCAATACACAAATCTGATATTAAAAAAAAAAAGAACAAAATCGGAGTAATTCGACCCAAAACTCAAATCAAATTTACAGCATCTGGATTCCGCGGATTGAATGAAAAGTTTATCATTCCATCAAAGCACTTAATCCAAGTGAGAATGAGAGAAGAATAAGAGAATTTAAGAGAAGGTAAAAATAAGGATTCTTATTATGGCCAAATCACAAAAATTTCAAGTGTCTCATTACACCCTAATTCAGAATCTTATTAGTTTATTTATAAATTCTGATTAGGGTAAACTAAATAGCCCAAATACAATTATCTAATAACAAAGGGTCTAAATGCAATCTCGCAACAATATTCACAAATTTGCTTCAAATTCAAAAAATCATAAAAAATAAAAAATAACTCTAAATCCAATTATTCATATAAGCATTTTGAAGTCCTAGATGTGTAGAATCTAATGTAATTGGAATCAGCCAAAAATTATATTTGTAAAAAAAGTTACGGCTGAAAGAATAGTTAAAGGTAAAGAAATTAAAAATATAAAATTAAAACATTTATTTGTAACAAGGCAAATTTATTCAAATAATACTCGCCATTAAAAACTCTATTATAAAATCTTTTTCAATCAGGTCTATTTGTATCCATTAACTACTAAATTTTGAATCACAAAAATAGGTCATGTCAATGTATCAAGCTAGCTCCAATCATTGCACCTACAAATACATCAGCTATAATATATTTTAACTATAAATGATCTTGTTGAAAAAGATTAATACAATTAAGTATAAACAAATTACTTATTCACACAATCCTATAGCAACACAGGAATAAATATAAGTACCTAAGACATTGTGATGCAAGCTTAGAGCCTTTAGACGAGATGGTTTCAAAATAATGTCGCAATGCCTGTAATAGCGAAACGTGAATGGCATCAAACAAAGTGTTTGAAATTTGATAATTAAGGCAACCAACAAACTCATCCAAAATAAAAGGTAGTAGAAACAAGCGAATGCTAAATGATCTCAAAAATCTATAAACAGCAAATAGGTGTAAAACACATGGCTCAGGCACACCAATGGTTACAGACGACGACGGCAACTATAATGGTGGAAGCAAAGGTTGAAGTGTCTCAGCATTAGACCTAGAATTCCTATCCCTAAAACCTGCACTGGAGTCACCCAAAGAATCAGCATCCATGCCATCATCGTCTCTCTCTTCCTCATCATTTTTACCTAATGACTCATCATTCAATTCACTTGAAACAGACACATCAACCACAAATTCCTCCTAATTCACTTCAGCAAAGTCCTTCTCTGAAACATCTTTGACTTTCGCATTATTTTGTGATACTAATTCCTCCAATTTAACTCTCCTCTTTACTAAATTAATATTGAAATCATCATCATTGAGGAGAATCTCATGAATCTCACTACTATCTAAATCCTTAGAATCACCATCCTTGTAATTAACTCTATACAATCGGCACTTATAATACACAACTTTCTTGAGGAAAGTTCCATTTCTAGGGAACTCTTTCAACGCATATTTTCTATTATGGTGCTCTCCAATTTCAACACATAATGCATATAGAAAGAATGGGGCATGAGATAGGGTTGAATGAGGTGGTAAAAATAGAAATAATCCTTGACTCACTCATATTGTTCCTCATTCAAAAACCTCTCATCCTTGAAACTATGAAAAATTTTGAAGCTTTGATTAATACTTACCTTTTGTAAGGATTAAGTTTTGCAGAAACCATTGAAGGTATTACCCTATTCTCCATTTTTAGTTTTTGACTCTTTAAACTTCGAATCCAAACCCGCGCAACAACAAAATTAAGTTATATTTTAACATCTTTAAGAAATTTAACTAGAAAATCAATAATAAAAAAGAAAAAAAAACTTATTCAAAAGCTTGAATGAAAAGAGAAGAACAGAATAGTAGTTCTAAGTTCTCTGTTATTTCTTTAAAGACATATCTATAATAAAAAAAATATTAAAAGATTTTTTTATAATAAAAAATAAATATAATAAAAATAAGTTATAGTTTAATTAAATCAATAAAATTAAGTCACATAAGAGAGACATCTAATAACTTTAAATGTGAGAGCACTAGAGCAAGCACTTTTTTTATATAGAAGGACTTGAATACAAAATATTAATTAAATAATATTGAGTCACTTGCCATTCATACATTCATATCAACCTCTGTTGATAAGTTTTTTCTATTATCTAATTTAAAACTTACGAAGATAAAACGAGAGTTTGAGCAAAGTTTCGAAGTCGATATAATACACTTGTTGATCAAATGATAATACAAGTGTTGATGTACTTAGAACTTTATGATAAAATAAAACATCTATAGGGAATTCATTTGTAATTGCTCATTATCATTAGACTCATTCACGTTAAAATAGACTAAAATAAAACACTATTTTCCTAAGGAAAGTAATTTTTAAAATAAAAATAATATAATTTACTTGCAATTACCTTATTTTCTTTGGTTTGTTGTGTGGAAAGGGAAGAAAAGTAGCGGTGGTGGTGTAACGTGTTTGTCCCAACTTTCCAACTTTTTCTATCTTGGTCTCATATAATATGATAACGGTTTTTACTTTATGTACTCCCATTTTCTTTTTAATCTTGCCGTCTTTTTCCAAAAAAGATTATAAAATATTAATTAATTTTGAAAATAAAATTTCAAAATTAATTTTTGAAAAAGTGATAGAAAAAACCTACGATAACTGGGTATAGATCCTTAACCCAAAAAGTATAGAAGTTCGAGCTGGATCACTTAATTATTGGGCCAAGCTTGGTTTGGGCCCTTTATATAACAGCAGCCCCACCCCCAAAGCATTCAACAGTATGCTGGATAAGGTCTTAGCCATTTTTTCTGAGTGGAACTAATGTCTACTCAGGTATTAAGTTAGTTTTACCTAGTACATGTAGCAATGTTTAAACATCACAGGCAAAATGCATTAGTGAATTTGAGCTTAAGAGCAAGGGAGTGTCAATAGAAGGGGGAGAAAAACCTTAACATAGTTATATTTTGTAAAAAAATTTCTATTTGATCCGTTGTCTTATAAAATTATGCACGGTAACATTTTAAAAATCATTAGATTACTTGGATAATAATAGTAATAATTATAGTAGTTAGACACGTAAAGTGATAAAAATATGATTAAATAACAATATAAAATTTAAGTAATGTTATCTGTCAACATGAACATGACTATGTATTTAGTCTTTCAAAGGTGAACTATTTAGCTTCACTAATAAACAAACTATTCTGTTAGTTATTTTGTACATGATGAAAATCAATTCCCTTTCCCCCGATAATCTGTCCAAATTGAGGACTTTCAACTTCATTAAACTGGATATAGCCACAAAGCATCATCTTGCTGGATCTAAAAGTTAGAATGGTAACATGTCTACACTGGATATACACACACTTGCTCAATGATTTTTTCAATTACAGTACACATATCGAAAACTTAATTATTATACCAGTTAAAGAAATGAGATAAATTCACTAGAGATTTTTCAAACAGATGTAAACTTTTTATTCCGAGAAACAAACATGTAATATCCGAGGGCAGAGAACAGCATTCCTCTCCCACACTGATGACATGCTACTCTCAAGTCTCAAATACTTGCATTACAACAAAACCCTCTTCCCCAACCCCATGCCCACTACTACAAGATGGTCTATTTTAGTTATTACCATAAACCCATTTTCTCCTCCCCTCAATACTACTACCAGGTGTGTACTTATTGCAACAAAAACACCTCTGCTTGACCCCACAATTCCCTTAACGCCAATGTTAATTACAACAAAACCCCTCTCCTGACCCAACAATTCATTGAATGCCAAGTCTTAATGACTCAAACTTGGATCTCTATAGACCATCTATACATCTCCTCTTGAGGAACTGGGATGGAGAGGGTTGTCAAACCAGTCTCCGAGTTATAGTAGAAGTCAGTTTCATTGCCATCTATCACACACTTCAGTGGGTGCTGTGAGGAGTACACCCCAAACCTCCCACTTCCCCTGACTCTCAAAGCAATAGTTGCTGTTGCTGCTCTGTTAGAACTGAGTGAAGTGGTCAACTCTGACACCACCTCACCATCAAATAATTCTGGTTTGTTGTTAGAGGCACTATGAATTTCAACCTGCTCCACAGCTCCTCCAATGTTGAACATATCCAGTAGCCCTATTGCTGCAAATGAAATAGTCGGTGCTATTTCCTGTCCAGTAAATATGAAAACCAGTGGTTAAGTATACACCAAAGGCAGAAAAGATGAAAACCAATTAAATAACATATTAGCTTATAGTGGATCCTTACATGGATTGGACAGAAATGGAAAAGTTCATACTCCAGAACTTTTAGTGTCACAGGAACTGAAACCCCTTTTGGTAGCCGAATCACCTCACCTGAGATATGGAGGAGGGGGTTATTTTACCATCGTTTCATGTACTAATGTCAACTCCAACAAAATTATATTATAACTAGTAGAGATATTAACTTATTGAAAGTCAGAAATGAATTCATGTTGTTTTACATATCCTCTTCCACATATTAAAACTAATGGTAATTGATTGCCATAAAGAATATTAATAGTACCTGATCTGTAACCATAAACAATGGTCTCACCAAGCCATTTAGCTCCTGCTACTTGGCTGATGAGGTCGACATCAGAGGCACAGACAGAGGTAGTGAGTGTACCAGGAGATGCATCATGGATGCGGGTTTTCTTCTCTCTCTTGCACCACCCAGCACCTTGGCAGTTAAATACACCAACTACTCCAGCGCATTTGTTTAGGTTCCATATTTTGAGCAAGCTGAAAATTATAATTTAGTTAAATGAGTCGTCAATTTATGTCTATGGAACAAAACCTTAAAAAGAACACAGATTTTAGATTTAAGTAAAAGAACCTAGTTCCGTCTCTTGCTGGATCTGCAAAGAGAGAATCTCGAGTGGGCCTGCCCGGTAGCTGAGCACGGAGAACTGAACCATCAGGGAGAACCAGCTTCTTAAGAAGATCAAAATTGTGGTTGCCCGGCTTGTCACTATTAAAACATCATAAATACCAAGTACACATCACAGTTGTACCAATTTTATGTATATGTCTAAGAAAAAAATTGCATTGAACATCATTATACCTAACATAAATTGGACATCCACCAATTGCACGAGCTGCAGCATGATAATCTGCTGCTGGGTGTAAACTCTGAAATTACAGAGAGCATTTTGTTAACATGGAGAAAATTTATAGCTCTTGAAAATTTCCAAGGGTAAACGCAGGCACTAACTAAATTATAAATGGAGAGCAATTGACATTGCCACTCACATGAAACATGTCCCAGTCAGGTTGCATGAATTCTCCAAGGAAAAGTGAGTTGTATGCAACAGATGAAATATGGATGGTGTGGGAAGCAGGATCACGAGGGTAAAAATCATCAGATGCTCTCACAACAGCAGTCTGTTTAGCACTATAAAGCCCGTCAGTGTTGTGACACATACATGCAATGCATCCATTGTCAGTAAAGTTACGAGCAATGGAAGCCTCAAGCGCATGATGATAGCTGCGTGTGAGTGAGACTCTGCCACCGTGTCCAGCGCCGAGGGTCTCAATAATGTTCTGCACATCAACCTTCACTCCATCTACTCCACATGAAGCTAAGTAAGCATGGAGCTCATTGTAGAAATTGAAAACCTTCTTTGGGTGCACTAGGCCAAGGCCATGTACAGCCAAGCTATCCATGACAATGTCTGGTTGGTTTCCTAGTACACCTGGTGACTGCACTGGGTATGCCAAGGCAGTGTCATAATGTTCCATGCCTGTTGCTGCTGGCTTAACACCACCCCAATAACCAGCTAGTGCATGCCATACATAAACATTTCTGTCCATCAACAGAATTATCATCATTCATTAAGAATTCAGAAAGTTAACTAGGTCAGCTACTTCTCAAACATTGCTTCTGTCATGCAAATTCAGATAGAACAGAGCACTCATAAGAGGAGGAAATGCACAACGTTTATTAATAAATTTAAGGATCTATGGCCATACTTCACATTGTGATGTTGCTTTGCTCCATCTACAAGATGCTTCAGACCTGACATCTTTTCGTCGTTCAGTAATTTCTTTTGAAATTTAGTATTCTCTTTAATACCGGTTAACCTAGTAGCAAACCTGCAATCATCACAATTTTGTATATATCATGAATGAGTTCTTTAATCAGACTAATTACCAAAAAAGAAAGTACTCTCCTGAATATGAGTATTAGAATTCTTAATTGAGAAGTAGATATAAAATTGAAAATGGCAAACTGTTACTTGTTGTTAGTAATTATAGAAATAGAGAAATCTTACTGTGCTCCTTCTTGTACAACACAATCAGCATCCTTTGATTTGTTTTCAATCTGTTGCCAACCATCATCTATGATGAGGAACCGAGGAGGAGCACCTCCCTCTGATAGACTGAAATTATATTGAACAAATTTCAGTGTCTAGATAAACAATAAACATCATCTTCCAAATTCATGTCATCTTAATTCACCAGAAACACAATACACAATTTCTCACACTAATTACCTTTTCAGGCCTTCCTCAACACCCTCAGCTGTGACATCAGTATAAAAAGCATCCCAAGTGCACCAACCAAACCAGTCTAGAAAAGATGGCAACTGCATAAAACAAACAAAACAAGGTTACAAGACCCATTAGAACTTGTCATATTTTTAGAGCCATAGGTAACACCACAAGGAAGAGGGTGACTCTTACTCTTTTCTTCTCACGATGAAGAAAAGTTTGCATGTGTTTTTCTACAGCCCTGAAGAAAGCAGAAAAAGGAATCAGTAAAACTATAATTGTCAATATACAGATTCAAATGTCCACCAAATGAAAAATAAATTTTGCTATAATCCAAAAAAGGTCAGTTTACATATTATTTTCAACAGTTTCGAATTGGGGGTGCCTTACTTGACAGCTTGATTGATGACTTCAAAGGGATTGGTCCCAGCATGCATGTAGACTAGGTGAAGGCCTTGGTTAGTCTCAACAGCATTATCCCCTGCAAAACCAAACCACATACCAAAAGGAAAAGGGTCGTTTCGGTTTTTTGTGACTCCACCTACATAAATATTTTCTCCAAAGGACCAAAGCTATAAACTCCATTTGTTTGATTCAAATTGATTGATAGTGATCGAGAGTTTTAATCCAGCTCAATTCTATCCACAATAATGACAGCTCCACCCCATAATACCAGGTGTTAAGACCTTCAAAATTCGGCTGAAGGGAAGGAACTGAATTAACAGCAGACACACCACTAAATTAAGACATAATAGCAGACTTTCATGTGTAGCCTTCACCACCAAACCATTTTGCATGGCCAAGAGTTACTCACCACTCTCGAGGCAAATCTCTATCTCGTTTTTGTCATTGCCTTGTAGAACAGCTCGGAATTGACCTTCTAGGAGTGGAAGCAAGACAGTGTAGATGGTTGGAGAATTCTCCCCATCAAGTTCACTGTCTTTGCTCTCTATAAGCATGAATTGGGTCTCCAAAGGAACATCCCTCCCACAAGTTCCCATTCTCTGAGTCATCCACCATAACTTGAACCGGAAACAACACATGAACCGGAGCCCCCTGTTCATAAGGTATATCACAAATTACAAAAACACCAATTCATCAAGCCAATAGTCTAATTAAGTTGCATAAGAAATCATTGTTTAGCTTATTCATGCTCATGCTTACAAATCAACACATTGCTACAGTCAAATTTTAAGATTATATACTTGAGCAAGCTGAAAGAACTATAATTTAAACTTTAGCAGTAAAATAAACTTAGGATAGTATATTAAAGCAATTTGATTAGTTTCTATGACAATAAAACATGGTACATAAGAATAAAATGCATGTGACGCTGTAAAAGTTAGAAGAACTTACTCTAAGGCACCCATAGGAAATACGTGGAGACTTTTGCTGTGGGAAGCTGTGGCACCAACGAAAGCACCAGTCACAAGGCCGTTTCCTGATCCTGGACTCAGCACAACGTTGTCAGGAACTCCAGTAAGTATGGTCTTGCCATGAACAACCAGCTTTCCATCGTTAACGGAGATCTTAGGTGTGACCGTCATCTTTGAACACTTCACCGCTGTGTTATCAGAGCAAACAAGACAAACTTGTTATTAGTTATTACTGTTATCATAAATCAATAAAATTCACTGTATCATTGAACTATAGTAATGAAATATTACAACTACTGAAAGTTTTTAAGACTCAAAATGCAACAAAACACACTCGAAAGTAAATTTCGAATTTTTCTACAGGTGTAAGTTATTATTACATCACGGGAAAAGTGGCTAAAATTGTTAAGGAGTTTCTTAATATGGACCTAGGGACTTATGATGATGGATGCTAAAGGTTAAGCACACGTTAGATTGACTGCGATGTGGTTCACGGGAGGGAGGAATCCACGTTAATGACTGTGTTGATGTTGTCCTTAGCATTATCGTTTTAACCTACCCCAGATTGGAAAAAAAAAAAAACCACCACCTATAAACTTATTGGTTTTTTCCTTGTGGTTTGTTGTATTACTATTACTTTCATTTGTAACGAGACCCTTCTTCCCAGTTCCAGTCTTGCTTTTGGTTAATAACTGAAATTTTGCATTACAATGAAATAAAGGGTACAAGATATGAAATAAAGGGAAGAATATATTTTTTAAGAAAAATCACGTGAAATAAAATCTTGTAAAGTTTGAGAAGGAGCGTTTCTTAAAAAGTTACGACATAGATTTCAAAATCTAAATTAAAAAAAATTCGAAAATATGTATCGAGTTAAGTACGTTTATGATATTATTACAATAGGCTCCACTTCATAATCGGTGCTGTTTCCTTTTCACGTTTTTCCAGAAAGTTTTGTTGCCTCCAAAGAAACTCGTCAATAGTACGACTTTTCAGAATATATGTATAACATTTTTTTATTAAATATAACATAATATCATGAAATTTAATATGTTAGCAATATTAAAGACCGAAAAATTCGTGCTTAGTAACATCAGAAATCATGTGGGAGCAGTGGGAGGAACGTGTATGTAGTTAGTTTCTCTTGAAACGCACCGAAAAAACAACTTAAAAGAAAAACACCAGAGATGTCGGTCCCCGACTCTGTTATTGTTCTCCTCCACAATGTTTTAACATAAAATTACTACCGGCGAGAAACTGAACTTACCGTGACGCGTAACAGAGAGAGAGAGAGAGAGAGAACGAAAAGAGTGTAATTTAGAAGCGAGAAAAGTGTATTCCAGGAGGAAATGGTCCTCCAATGGAAGGTGGAAGCACGAAGCAACACACACTTCGCTCAAAGCTGAAGATTACGATTACGAAATTTTGGTGTGAGAAATGGAAGAAACGCAGAAAGGTGGGTTTTATAGCGTGTCCGATGGTAAACCTCGAGCAAGTTTCGGGCTTCCAGTGCCTCTGGATTATGACACGTGGAGTGTGGCCAGCCGATGGATCCTTCACCGGCCTAAATTATTGTACCTAATGGCACGGAATAAGGAAAATCTTTCTGAAAATGTACATGTGACTGTCATGTTGTTGTCAGTGCTGAAGCTTGTTTCTTGGAACATTCAATAAATCAGGATAATTCTGTCATAAATGCCACAGGTTGAACCAAAATTAAATGGATTTTATCTAATTAATTATGTATTTTAAAAATAATATATACTAAAATATAAGATTTTTAAAAAATTACAAAAACATAAATACAGAGGTATAACAACTACAAAAAAATATAAGATATTATAATAAGTTTTTTAAAAAATTAAAAATTATTAACCATTTTTAAAATAATATAAAGGTTTAAAATAAAAATTATCAATGATAATTTTTAAAAATTAATAAAAAATTTAAATCACAAAACATCATAAATAAAAAAATTTTATTGAAAATTTTGAAAAAAAAATTATGTTTCGATAAATTTTTAAAAATCTCGTATTTTAGTATTGTTTTTTTCATTTAAAAAAAAGAGCTGCATAAATTGTATCAGAGGATATATTATTCATTTGTTTCATGAAGAAAGAAAAAAAATTCCATCGGAATTATATTAATTTAGCTTCCATTGGTCAGAGTATGTTCTTTATTTATTTGTTTGTTTCCCTTTGTAGATATTTCTAGTGCTATAGGAAATTTATGGATCAAATTGTAACTTTATGGTACATTTATTATGAATTTACTTTTTGTTTGACGAGAAATTGGACGAGAGAAAATAAAAAGTCATGTGATGGGAAAATAATCGATGGTAAAAACATGCTTTTACGTAAAAAGATATTTTTATACATTTTTTAAAATTATTTACAGGAAATAATAAATTTGCCGGACTTAGCACTTTATAAAAAAATTATATTTTTTTATATGTTTTATTTAAAATGAAAGAAAAATATTTGTATGGAACGATAAGTGCAACAATTCAAAATTTCTCATATTTGATATACACATTTGAAAAATATATTTTAAAAAAATAACGTATGTAATAAAGTTTTATTTAATACAATATTTTTATAGGAGTGAGATTTTAATTTTTTTTAAAATAAAGAAGTTGTTTAGTAGATTAATTGTTTTAAAATTTTAATAATGTTAAGTTAAAAATGTTAGAATTTTATATTTGATATAAATAGAAATATTCTAAAAAAAATTCTTACAAAATATTTTTTTACTATGTTTTTCAATAAAAGATTCCTACAAGAGAAATAGTAACAAAAAATTCCCATAAAAGGGAAATGATTTTAGCTATACATACTCACCAAAATATTTTTAATTTTGCTTAAATATATCAAACATATTTATAATATTATTAAAAAAAATATAATTCTCATAAAATATAATTTTGGGAAGGAACCAAAAAAATTCTACATATCAAACGCCTTGTAAAGGTAACTTTTTAGTGTATTAAAAATTATACAAAAAAAATCTATACATTTTAATGTTTTAAATCTTAAATTTAATTTGTATTATCCTTTATTTTATACAATTGCATTATTCATGTAAAGCTTTTATTTATTCATTGTCATTGGAATAGAATATTAGTAGAAGAATTATTATATTTGAAATTTCATTACTGCTTACGTGTTTCAATTTAGCTGGCAGTATGACAAACCCACCGTTCACACAAGTATTTTTTTGTATTATAAATATTTTTAATATTTGTTTATTTTATATTTTAATTTAATTTTTAAAATTTTAAATAAAAAAATCCCCTCAAATTTAAACAAACAAATTATCAATAATGCAGAAAACTTAACATTTATGATAAAGACTAAAGGAATACTTGAAAAAATATTCTTAAAAATATTAATATTTTCATAATATATTTTAATATACTAGATATATTTTTGACGTTGCTAGAAAATTATTTTTTAAAACATAATTTTAAAAATTAAATAAATTTCTGAAGACCAAACACTGTTACTATAATTTCTTATAATATTTTTAGTTTAAAAAGAATTTTTTACTAATAGATCGATTAACATATATCAACACACTAAAACCATATCAATTTGCTCTTTTTTAAAATTATTTTATTATTACACTACATATTATTTATTAATGAATGAAAATTTGAAGAACCTATGGAGCAGAATTAGATTTATTTAAAAAAAAAAATACAAAATAGTTAGATAAAGAGAAAGAAAATATTTTTTCTCTCCTAGTCTGTTAACGACTAGTTGACAGAATCTTATCACATGGTACAACTTTTTTTTTCACACTTTGTTACATGATTCAATTATTATAACGAGGAAATAGGCGTAAATAGATTTTGAATTTTAGTGTTGCAGTGTAAATATATTTAAAAACCAATGAAACTCAATCCAATTAACGACTACTATTGCATATAATAAATTTTATTAAAAAGATTTTGTTAATCTTAACTTTTAAAATTGAATTTAAGTATTTATAAATAAAAATTGTATAAAAAATATATAATTATTATATTGAAGTTATAAAAATATAATAAATATTTTTTAATAAAAATTTATTATTATTAACTGCTGATATTAACAAAAATTTTATTAAAAAAGTGTTATTTTAATAAGAAGGTATTATTTTGCTTACCCACAGGCGAAGGAAATGGCACGCAAAACTATTGGGTAAGCTTAGATCGTTGGGAAGTTGAAGTAAAAGGGTGACGCAAGTGTGCCTCAGAATTGTTGTTATGAATGTTATGAATTCCAAGTTGGGTGCGATCGCTATGCAACTTTACAAACTAGTTTTCGATCATTTATTAAGCTTTTCAAGAGTGGTGGGCGAGTGCATTGAATCAAAGTATCAATGTCCTCGAACACACAAACCCACTAGTAACTACCAACTAGTGTACCTACCATCAATATCAATATCAATATCATCAACGGTGCCTTAGTTATGTTTTTTTTTTTCCTAAAAAATATTATTTTTTTAAATTTAGCGGTGAACTGAATTATATTAAATAATAAAGTAGATAACAAAAGTCTAATTCACTGTGATAATTATTTTTAATATTTTCTTATATAAAAATTAATATTAAAAAATTTAAAAGTATTTATGTTGTTTTAAAAATAATTAATTTAAATAGTTTTTTAACACCTCGCTTTTCATAACTAAAAAATATTTTTAATTCTAATTTGTGTGAGAAGTGTAATAATGGTTTTGAATTTATTATGCATACCTGGTTGTGAATTTGTTTCTAAGGTTTGGAATAGTTTATTTAATACTAATATGTAGGTTCTTTTCTTCAGCTTGAGTTAAATTAAATGATTAATTTTTTATTTTAGGAAGAATCATGTAAACAGGATAAATTATTAGCATATTAAATTTGTTACTATTATTTGATAATTATGGCTAATTAGGAATGAGTAGATTCTTAATAAAAAAAACTCTAATTTAAATCAGATTTTGGTAAAGATGAATTGTCAATATAAATATATTTCTTAATTTGTGTTGTTTCTTTATATTCACGGGACTTGTAAGAATGAGACTTTGGTTGATTGGAAATCTCCCCTTTATTCACGGAGGAAATGAATTGGTAGCCTGTGAAAGTTTGGTCCAAGATAATTAAAAGAAAATCTTGTTGCTGAATTCATTTTGTTATTAATGTTGAGTTGTGGGCTCTTCTAACAGGTCTTAAGCTAGTTTATACTCTAACTGAGGAAGTTTTGGTACAAATAGATTCGTAATTAGCTATTCTCTTAATTAGTTCTTGTATTTTTAATAGCCATAAATTGTATCTTATAATTAAAGAGATCAAATAGCTATTTCAATATATTAGAATTGTTAGCATTTATTATATTTTTAAGAAAATCAATTACTATGCAAATTTTTTAACAAATTGAATATTATAAGTCCATGATAAGAAATTTATTTTAGATTCTCTCCTCCCTTTGCTGATATCTACATTTTATTTTTAAAACTTAAAACTATTTTTAAAAATGAAATCAATCATACTCTTACCTTTCTAAAATGATTAGATAATTTTCTTGTGTGCCCTGTTGAAAAAAAAGTTGTATTTAAGGATATAATAATAACATAACTTTATTTAAAAATATTTATTATATTTTAATAAAAATTATAATCATTAAATATTTAAAATCAATTTTAAAAATTAATGTTAATATTTTTTAATATAAAAATTAATATTTTGATTGATTAATTAATTTTTCATTAATAACTAAGTAAAGTAAATTTATATATATAGGACGACCGAACAAGTTTGTTAGTAAAGAAGAAGAAAACAAAATTGGTAAAAGACTATGTGGATCCCATTAGGCTAACAGTACGTTTCGCTACCTCATTGATTTGAAATCGACTTTGAATCAAAAGTTCAAGTCGTCGACAAAAAGAAAACACCAAAAACAAAAGTTGAATTCATTGTTCACGGCACTCCTCACCCGAGTGATTCATACGCCGTACACGTTTTAAATATTTTTTATATTCGTTTTTAACAACTTAAAAAAATAGCTTATATTTTTATAATTTTTTAATTTTTTTTAAAGAAATTTTATTGTTAAATTTTTTGTATAAATTATTATTTAAAAATTATTTAATAAATATTTAAATAAAAATTCAAACGAGTATCTAACCGTTTGAATGACTTCTACTGGAAGAAATTATAAAAATCACTGTTTTTCACACAATTTTTATTTACAAAATTCATGAATTGTCGAACATTTTATTTAATGTTTTTATAAAATTGATAAGTAAATATCTAAAATAAACTGACGACATAAAATTGTTAGGATGTGTGAACAAAGTCTCACATTAACTAAAATTGAAAAAGATCAAGAGCATATAAGTATGGTAGATTTTCATTAGTATGATACCTTTTGGATGGTGTCCAAAAATAAAATCATGAGAGCTTAGGCCT